CCCCAAAACCCCAAAACCCCAAAACCCCAAAACCCCAAAACCCCAAAACCCCAAAACCCCAAAACCCCAAAACCCCTTCTTTTAATATCGTAATTGATGCTTCTACAATTTTTGGTTATTCTTGAGCTTCATGGTACGTAGTGATGGTCTTCTCGTACGAAAATGGAGCAAACCTGTACCCGTTTCCTTTGTAGAACTTGTTCTGGAACTCTACCCAGTGCAGTCTTAAGCAGTGAAGGAAGCATTCCATCGAGTCCATACACATTAGGACAAAGAATGTGAACGAGAAGAACGCAGGAAATAGCAGGAACAGCAAGAATCCGCTGCCTCTTCCTCCATTTGCTTCGAATGCAATGCCTCCGAGCAGTTTCTCGTAGAACACTTCTGCTAGCTGACTGTGTGCAAGCGACAGAGCCCACAGTCTCAAGTAAGAAGCCGTGTTGGACACTGTTCCTAACACAAACTCTATAGTCTCGATGAGCTGATGAATAAATATTTCTGAGAACTCGTGGCTTTCGTGAGAGCCGCTTTCCACGAACTGTAGCAGGTCGACTTGGCTTGACTCAAACACATCGCCCTTGTGAGCCCGAGCAGCTCGACCTTTCGGAGCTGCAGCTTGTGCAGGATCGGCATCTTTGTTGATGAGCAGCTCGCGCTCTTCAGCATTGTCTTTGCGCTGATGCTGAATATCTGACATTTCAATGGCGTTGTTGTCATTTCCTTCAAGCAGAGCTTGGTCTCCATGCTCACTGTGGGCTCCTTCATTTGGGTGAGTGTACAAGTGCCACAGGGGCTTCACTAGCAGCATTGCAGGAACACACGTCAGTGCGACCAGCAGAAGTGTGGTGCTGAGCCACTGCTGGTACTCTGCACTGATCACTAATGCGTCTGTTCCCTCAGGAATTTCTCCGAACTTCAGGAACATTCCAATCATGGTTGAAATGATTCCCGGAGCTCTGGCAGTGTTTCCGGTCCAGTCAGTCAGCCATTTCATGATTATGAGATAGTCCATGTAGCCGAACAGAGCCGATATCAGAATGATCTGCGGAATGAATTCGAACACAAACTCGATGGGCCTGCCAAAATGGATTGAGTTGAAGCCCTTCATCAGGATCCCCAGGGACATTTGGGCTACTCCAAGAATCACTGACAACTTCATTTTCATCGAGTTGAAGAACGTCAGTGTATTGGTACCCAGATACCATTTTGGGTCGAATCCAATTGGGTATACACAGTCATCTTTGAGCTCAAATGCTTCGACTTGGCCGTGCTCGTTTGTAACATTCTGATATCATGACCCGTGAGGCAAGTCCACTGGGATCGACATGAAGTCGTTGTAACACCACCCGATAAAGAACGAAAAGAACCCTAACAAGAACAGCAAGTACCTCACTCTGACCATGACTCCAAGACCGATGTTTGAGAAAGTGGCAGGGAACATCACCAAAGCAGCACCGAGCATGAGCAAGAGGCCTCCGTGGCCGATGTCTCCGAACATGACTCCGTAGAGGAAGGGAAACGTGACGAGGTTGAACATGCCTGAGTTCACTTCTTTGTACGATGGGACCCCATATGTGTCAGTGATTTCCTGGAATGGCTCTGTAAAGTCGTTCAGGTAAAAGTACGTCGGCGGCTCCAACTCGTGAATTTCTCTCCTAACAATCTGAGGTGCATGCATGTTCCTGTTCTCCTTCATCTTGTAGATCTCGTCGTTGACGATTCTGAGTTTAGTGTTGGGTATCCAGTACAGACCGAAGAACAGTCTGTCTCCGGTCTTGAGCTTGTTCAGTGTGATGAAGATGCTTCGCTCTTTGATAATGAACCACTCGTAAACGATAACTGCTGAAGAGTCTTCGTTCTCCATTTCGTTGGTCATAACCAAGAATTTTCTGGTTTCCTCTCTGGTGTTGGCCAAGATTTTCCTGGCATCTCTGATCTTTGTTTCTAAGTCATGGAGTTTGTCGGTGAAGCCAGACTCAGGGATTTCGTATCTGTCACCAAGGAATGAATCACAGATCTTGCAGATCCTTTCTCTAATTGATTCTCCTTCTTGGAACACTATTACGTAGACCGTCTTCATTTGCTCGACTCCGAAGTAGTTGACAATTGGCTTCGTGAACTCTTTGAAGCAGACAATGGCGTTGCCTCTGGTGGCTCTGAAAATGAGTCTGTTGAAGCGGTCCTGCTCTTCCTTGAGAATGGTGCCTGCAATGTGGCCAATACTGATTTCTCCAATGTTGACTAGGGATTCATGAACATCGCCTTCACCGTTGGAAGACATGCTTACGCTTAAAGACTGGTCGCCTCCGAGCCTGCTTCCTCCGATCACGCTTGCAGACTTGCTGAGCACGGTCTTGTACTGGATGAGTTGGTTCAGGTCGTCGTGCATCCTCTTCAACAAGTCGATCTGCTGGGCAATAAAGTTTTCTTTGGTCGTGATTTTGTCTTCGATTTCTTCGAAATATAAGCTGTTGGACCTCTTCCTGCTTCTGTAAATGGCGTCCAGGTTGCTCAAAAAAGTCTTGGAGTCCTTGGGCTTTCTGAGTGGAACATTGAGTCTCTTGCACTCAGCCTTGATGCTCTGGATTCTTCTGAGGGTATCATCACATCTCTTGACCCAGTTGGCATAAGTCAGAGCAAATGGCTGCTCAGTCGAGTTGAGGTCTACGAAATGAAGTGCGTTTAAATTTCCAAGTGTGTTCATAATTTCCCAAGCATTATCCTTAGGAACCGAGATCTCATAAAGAGACATATCCTCTGATCGAAAAATCCCCATTTTGAAAACGATCTTATAAATTATATTAGATATGCAGATTTTTATTTAAATCAGACTCTTTGGGGTTTTGGGGTTTTGGGGTTTTGGGGTTTTGGGG